AAGGGTAGGAACGAAGGTGAAGAGGTTGAAGATGACTAAAGTGGTAAGGGGTGAGCCCACTGTTCTTTAAAGATTTTTTTTTTTTTTTTTTTTTTTGCTTCATAGATTAACATTTCTTAATATTCAATTAATTTTTTAATACAGAGTAGGTCTCGTCTCAAGTCATGTCACTATTTAACGGAAGAATTGACAGACAAACTGACGGAAGGTATGAAATTGTAACAAATTCGTAGGTGAGGTATGACATTGAAAATTTTTAAAAATAAAGTATGAAACTGTGAATGATCCAATATTTAAGGTAATTTTATATAAATTATCCTATATATATATTTTAAATATTCATTCACTTGTACTATGATTTAATTTATTGGAAGGACACACTATAAAATCTCTGCACACAATGTACAAAAACCGAATGCTCTGGGCACATGTCGATACACGGCGTGGAATCTTACGATAGGAATCTAAAATTACCTGGGCGATTGTGCACCGAGCCATGAAATTCTGGAAACGATTTTGCATTAATGGACGAGAGCGCAGCGAAGAATCTCACCGCTCCGGATACAAGGATCGTGCACCATGTGTCCGTACGTGGTTGGTGGTGACACAGTTCTTATTCTTTTTGTGATTTTAGAGGTGCCATAAACAGTTTAGAAAAAGTTGCTTCGCTTAAAGAGAATAAAAAAAAAAACACGATCCATTCACATGACAATTTTGGCTACTTTGGTTTTTCATCTCCTGTTAAACATGAGGCTCTCTATTGCGTTTGAGGTGCACATTTTTTTTATTTCGCGTTCTATTATTTATTTAATAATTATGATTCTTAATTTTTTAAGTCGTTCAATTCCTTTTTTAAAAAGTCAAGAGTTGTGTGTAAAATATGAAAAAAAATGTGTAAAAATACGGACAACGCCTTCCTCCAACGAAGAAAAATCAATCAACTATCAATAAGGGCACCGTAAAAAATCTCATAGAAAGAACTTGCCCAATAAAATTACTTTTAATTTTGCCAAAAGGTCATTTGAGCAAAAGTAGATAAAAGAATTCAATTCATGTTAGCGGCAAGGGCATAGTTGGCTATTAGAATATGATTTCTTTAAAAAATAAGAAATACTAGTTACTTTCTCACATCCTTTTCTATCCTCAGTTTATCAAAGAAATCTACTACATTACTCGAGTCATCCATCATTTCATAGATTTAATAACGACAGCGTGTCAAATTTGTCCAAAAAATCTGGAATTTATAACTGCGAAAATAACAAATTTTTGGTCGTCAACTTGATTATTCTTGCACTAATCGAGTTGACGATCAAGAGTTTGTTATTTTCACTGTTATAAATTCTGACTTTTTGGACAACTTTGGCAACATCATAATGATTGCGTGTCTATTATAACAGTTTGCTTTTTGAGATTCGTTCCACTCAGCTCTCATTCATAAACAATCATGGCCATTGGTTGATGAAGATCCCAAATTGGTTATAGATACTAGTCATGTAGTTGGACAACTTCCTACGTGCACATAGAAATTGTGTAGGATGTACGACTAGCAGATTTATAGTCATGTAGTCTTTTCAGCAATAATAAGCGTAAGCTAGGTGTGAAATCAATCTAACTAGCATGCCAGTCGGAGTCACCTAATGTGACTTGTACGACTGCACCTATAGCTCATCAATCTAGGCTAGCACACGAGTCGGAGTCACCTAGTGTGACCTGTACGACAGGCTGTGTATAAATATGTTTGCTCAAGTACTACAATCACGTGAAGGTTGTGCGATAAATTGTGGGTCACCTATGAGTCAAAATCGCCTATTGTGGTCTGTATGACAGACTGGCACCAAACTTGGATCCAAGGTGAGCGTACTGGTGCGGAAGGTGAACAAATCACGTGAAGGCTGTGCCCTGGCCCCGGGCGAGAGCACTAATACCGGGGTGCAGCCATGATGAGCTCTAAATGAATATATACATGCTCACATACAATGCAACCAACTCAATTACATGATAAATTACCTGACTTACCTGTGCCTTCGCATAATCATTTAGCACACACACAAAGCAGAACAATGCAATTATTTAAAAATATATCATATTTTAAATGATGGCATGCTATGCATAACTCAGTTCAAAGCATTTGTGGAAACTATAAAATTTATATATATATATATATATATACACATATATATACTATAAAAAGGAAAAAGACCCACTCACCTATAGTATGCGCTGCAACTCCTTAGCACGAATATCAAGTCATCACGAGCGATTGTCGTCTAAAACAATTATCAAATCACGTCTCAGAATTCTTATCGATAGAACACGTAACCTACATAAAACACATCCCCAAAGACGTTCTAGAATGATTTAAGACCCCTTGACCAAAAGTCAATTGTTGGTCAAAGATCGACGGTAGGAACCACAACCCTACGTAACTCAATCCAAAAAGATCAGTATATCAGATTTCTAATTCGTAACTTCTAAAGATCCACATTATGCTTCTAAACATCATACTAAAGTTTCATTACAATCCAACGGTTGAATCTTCGCCAATTGCAAATTCAAGTGGAGGTTAACGTTTTATTTTATGAACTAACAAATCCAATTCAGGAAGATCCGTACGTCGGATTCCTGATCCATAAGTTTAATATCCTCAAACATTACGTACTATAACGTATCAAAGTTTGGTGACGATTCAACGGTTGGATCATCGATTGCTATAATAATCAAGCAGCAGACCTTAATGGAACTAGGTTCAAACGACGGAAATTCGTCAATCAGACTTCACATATGGAATTGAAGAATAAAATTTAGTCTAGGAAGGTCAGGGGATGCCTCGGCCTACGCGCCGCCGTACACGGCGATCGGCCATCCCGACTTGCCGGAAAAATCAACTATTTCTAAAAAAATTCAAACTTCACATAAACGAAGATCTCAGTGAGTAGAGCAAGTTTTATACATGTGGCCAAGTCCAATTTGGCCAGGAAAAGCCTCAAATCGCCATGAACTCACCGGGACCCTAGAATTTGGGTGTTTTTTTATTCAACCTCAAGTCGAACTCCGACGCCCCCAAACTTGTTTGGGCTTTGTTCCTGGGTTCAAGGTGAGTCCAATGGTTATGTAGATCGAAGGAAATCGTTGCAGGAATGGCGAATTCGCCGCTGTGTACCCAAGAACCATATGGTTTGTTCTTATAGATTTGAGGGTCAAACGAACAGGAATCTAGGTGTAAGTGGGAAAGGGAAGACTGTGGAGTTGTTCCTAGGTGGTGTTTGGTCATGAAAAACTCGGAGAACGCCGTGAAAGGCATCAGAAAAGTCGTGGAATGCCTGGTCAGAGATCGGGTCTCGACTGGAAACGGGCTAGGGTTCGGGTTGGCTACACCTCAACTCTCTCCTTTCCCCTCATTTCTCTCATCTCTCATTGGTTCACTCCCTCTTTCTCTTCTTTCTAATTAGGCGTCCCGCCCCTCCTTTCTCTCCTTTATCTTTCATCTTCACCACCCATCTTTTCTTCCTTTTAATCTGGGCCACACATGTGGCTTTCCAGATTTTTCTCCAAAAATCTGGAGCTTTCTTGAAATTAATCAATTTACTAAAATGTCTTCGACTTTAAACGTTAATATCTCCTTCGTTATAACTCTAAATTTCGTTTCATTTGCGCCCACGAGTTCATAGCGACGAGTACTATCCAAATACGCCAAGAAAACAGATCTTACATGACATGACAATGCCGTCAACAAAAGTCAATGTCTTTACCTCGAAGGGCATTTTCGTAAATTCACATTTTAAAACTATAAAAACTAAAATTTTTGGGGACAGGTTGTTACAATTAAGCTATCAACATAAATAATCTATGTCACACCGAAACACAATAATTCTAAAAAGTTAATAAATTAAAAAAAAATATCTTGCGTGAAACCTACCTTCTTTTTCCCTAACCGTCTCTCTCATCCACATCCCCTTCCTCTCTCCATCTCTCTCTCAATTGGTCACTTCCCTTTTCTCTTCTTGAGTTGCTTTTTCCCCTTTTTTTGCTTATGAAAAAGGGAGAGGGATCTGTTTCAAAATTTTCATCATCTTCGAAGATTTTCATAAGAAAAAAGGGTTCATGCGTTCAAGAAGAAAGGGATCCCAATTTTCAAAACCGCAAAATCTCAAATTTTTTTGGTTCCTTGTAACTAGGTTTGAGTAGTATTGATAAAAGATTGGATGAAATTGGACATGTAAAGTTAGTAGGGTTTTATGCAATTGGATTTTTTTAGGTAGTTTGCTCTTATACGTGGATGCCCATTTTCCTCTAATTCATGCTATTTTTTTCCTCTATAATATTTACATATTCATGTATTGTGTAAATTTGGAAGCATTGATTTATTTCATTTACAATGTTGTACAAGTAGGGGAAGTGAAGTATTTGTGTAATTTTTGTTTGATATTAAAAATAGAAGTTACAATTTTTTTTTCTCACAGGTAGTTTGCTTTTTTTTTTTTTTTTTTTTTTTTTAGTCAAGCAGTAGCATTAACATATTAGGTTAGTTATCGACGGAGTTCAAACTTATGTCGTTATACAAATGCACAACATCTTTTCACTACTATAGTATATAACCACTTGCAGTTTGCTTTTTCTTTTGACAGTGTTTTTAAGAGTGTTTGAGCAAAATAACAATAAATTGCGTTAGTGGTTCGCGTCTTTCTAAACTAGATCCAACTCTATTTCATTCTCTACAATTTAGATGAAATTCAGATGTATCATATTCTTTTGTCGAAAAATAAAAACAAAAATTTCAGAAGATGACTGGATTGCCCTTATTCTTCTCGCATTAAAACAACAAGGTCAACTATTCATATTAGCCCACGTAACAGAGAATCTCGAAGAAACACCCCACAAAATACCAACCGAAAGTAAAAGAAAAAGGAAAATAATAAATACTAATTTATAATTACATTTTCGCCGCGTGAGTACGGATTCCAAAGATTCCCTTACTTAACTGTGAAAACTCGTTCCCGAGTTAAGGAACTGAGTCACCGAGTTGACCCGGAGACGCGAGGACCCGCTTATGCGAACCACTGAATCTTTGTGTGTCCTGAATCTCATATTCCATATAAATTCTGGCCTCTCTGTTCCTTATCAGGTTTTTATCTGGGCAATGCTCGAAATCGAGATTGAGGGAGAAAATTAACAACGGAGAGAGAGAGAGAGAGAGAGAGAGAGAGAGAAAATGGACCTGCTGAGCTTGGACTCCAGTCCTCTGTTCGTCCCGAAAACAATCACCGACTTTCTCGCTCAGCTCTCCGCCATTAAAGACGGCTCTCAGAGATCTTCAGAGCTCGATGGGTACGTGAAGAGACTGGGCGACGAACTCAGAAAGATTGAAGTTTTCAAGCGGGAGCTTCCTCTCTGCATGCTTCTCCTGAAGGATGGTGGGTTTTTGGTCTCTCTCTACACTCTCTCTAAAATCTGTCTCTAGGATTTGGTTTTTGATCATATTTGTGAGATGGGTTTTTGATTTGGTTTGATGGGTATGCAGTGATTGAGCGGTTGAAGGAGGAAGGAATGCGGTGGAGGCGAATGGAAGAGCGGCCGGTGATGGCGGAGTTCATACCATTGAAGGGTAATTCTGTGGAGGACGGAGGGGCAGTTTCTGGAAAGGAAAATATTGACAAGAAGAACTGGATGAGCTCTGCGCAGCTATGGAGCACAAGCATCAATGTTTTTGATTACACCAAACACGACTCTGAACTTAAACTGGTTAATTTCTAAATTTCCCCTTTTTTCTCTTCTTAAGACTGACACTTTATTGGGGGTTTTCTGAAATTTCATATTTTCTTGGATTTGTTTTTACAGGGGAATGAGGAAGATGATCGGTCGGCGGCGGAGAACCCAATTGAGCTGAGTAATAAGAAAGGCGTGGGAGGGGCATTACTGGCATTCAAGGGTCAGAATGAGTTGTCTGGTTTTGCAAACCCATGTTTGAAGGGAGACAAGGAGGTTACCGTGGTTCCAAACCTTTGTCTTATGACTCCATTGATGTCTGAAACACTGGCTCGTTCTGCAAACGCAAACTCTAAGACCAACCATGGCTGCAGAGGTGGCGGTTCGGGTTCTGGTATGGCAGGACAATTGAAATTACAGAACAAACCCCAACAGCAGCCACAGCAGCAGCAGCAGCAACCCTTAAGGAAACAAAGGCGGTGCTGGTCGGCGGAGCTCCACCGCCGCTTTGTTGATGCCCTTCAGCAGCTTGGAGGAACACAAGGTTGGAGATTATGACCCGAAAATATTTTAATTGTGCTAATTGAAAAAATTTGACATTAATTCTCGGACTAAGAATTGGAAAATTTGATGAGTTTCAAGATTTATTGTTGGTTTTTGGAGAAAATGTTGGATCTTTATGCTGCCAAACTACTTGAATTTAGTCCTTTTTTTTTTTTTTCGAATTATTCGAATCGAATTCTCCTCTATGTTTAGATTTTATGTGCTTGTTTCTAATTTGTGTAGTCTGTTTTTTGTAGTAGCCACTCCTAAGCAGATAAGAGAACTTATGCAGGTGGAGGGTCTCACCAATGATGAAGTTAAAAGCCACTTGCAGGTTGGTTAATTACTCAAGTTTCTCTCATCTGTAATCACAATTTTCCTTTTTTCTAACTGTACTGGATGATTGTTTGCTCATGTTTTAGTCTGATATCTGTGCAGAAATACCGCCTTCACATCCGAAAGCTCCCGCCTTCTTCGGCTGCTGGCCAAGGCAATGACTTACTCGTGCCCTTGGATCACAGCGGAGAGCATGCTAAGGCAAACAACGTACAGTCTGGTTCTCCACAGGGTCCTCTCCTCACAGGAGGGTTTGCCAAAGGTCGATCCACAACTGGAGGCAAGTCGGGTGACAGCAGGGAAGGTGAAGAGGATGAGAAATCGGATGGACAGAGTTGGACAAGTGGGAATCACAACCACCACCACCACCAAGGAGCTGGAGATGTATAGTCTCATACAATCATCATCCCGCATGAGTTTTGCAGATACAAATATCCATGGGGAAAAATCGAAGTCTCTGGATTAGGGAATTATAAGCGTATAGTAGTAATAAGCGGAGAATTTGCCATTGTAGAGCAAGTTTCTTCCTCTGGTTCTTTTATACAGGTTTATTATCATGTAATGTGCCCTTGATTAATGTAGGAAGTAACATGTTAATGTTTCCCAACATGACGTTATTCAGTTTAATGTGTTATTCAAATTGAGATCTATGGACTAGAAGAAGTCTGCTACATACTGTTTTCCTTCGGAAATACATCGCGGTCGCAGATATTGCAGTTCCGGACTTGGAAGAGATCGAACCCTTTCATCGTAGGATTCGACATGAAAACCTGAGTCCATCCTGAATGGAGAATAGGTACACATGCAGGCAATTCCCCTTTCCATGTCCAAAATAGAGGGCTTGCCTTGCTTCTTGTGTTAATGCTTGTCAACAAGCTCTGAGATCAAAATTTTGTCCAACTGAACTGAATTCTAAAAATCTCGTCCATTTGCCAGTTAACCTTTGCACCTGCATTGTCCTCGAATTCTTAGTAGCATGCCAGCCTCTCTCTCTCTCGCTTCACCAAACTACTTTTATTTTCCGCCGCAAGAACATTCCAAGGGTCAGTGGCACACGTCCACCGACTGATCCCGATAATTATGCATGTGGAGGTGCAAAATGTATTCACAGTTAGATGTAATTAAAGCGTGTTAGCGATTGATCTGGCATTTTCTCTGTTGCAAAACCAATGTCACGCTACTATATTTATTATTTTCAATCTTAATGGATTGCCCCAGATTACTCTCCAAACAAAACGGCATGGTATTCACTGAAGCAATAGCTTCGTTTCTGGTCATGTACACGGTTAGGTATTTGTCAATTCCTCAGAGTCACTGTCAAATGAAGTCTGGAGACCTAACTAATCGTACAATCGATTTCTACTCTCAGACTTATTAATGGGTTACATTACTTAATGTTATTCATTTAAATTAACATCCGAATAATCCTCATCTTACAGCTAGGACCATGTAAAGACAAAGCAGTCACCTTCAAGATCGCAAAATAATTTTTTTTTCTTCTATTGAATCTCTCAAAAGAGTTGACAGGAGAGTGAGCCTCCAGGAATCTTATGCTTAGAAAATTAAGGGTATGTTTAGTACTCTATTTGAATTCAACTTTTTAAATTCAAAAACAATTTTCAAGTTTTAGGCCTTAAAAACTTGTTTGGTATGACTATTTAAAAAATTGAATCTAAGACTAACTAAAAAATATAGTATATACTCTAAAAACATAAAAAATGAGTTTTTAAACTTAAACTCGCTCATTTCTTTTTTCTCTCTCCACCCCTCTCACTCCAAATCTATCTCTCTTTTCTTCATTTTCTCTCCTCTTTTTTTTTTAAACCTTTTTTGTCCACCCTCCAATCCGCTCTTCATTCTCTCGGTTATTTCTCTCACTCTTCTTCCTCTCTATCTCGTCCAATTCTCTCTCTTCTTTCTCTTTCCTTCAATCATCTCTTACTTTCTTTCATCCTCTCTCCTCTTTCTCCCTCTTCTATGATCCCCGCTTTTTGGATCTCTTTGTCTCGTTTAAGTTGTAAGATTTAAAAATTTTAAATCGCAAACTAATCAAGTTTTTTAGTCTTAAAGAAAATTGTTTTCAAGAAATATTCTTAAAAAATGTTATGAGAAATAATAAAAAATTTCAAATAAGATACCAAACAGACCCTAAATATTTCAAACAATTTTTTTTTTCCCAAAATTTCAAAAGATGATTAATTAGTACCAAATATTTTCATATTTTAATTACCTTGAATGTCAACTATTTGATTTGATTTTTTTTTCTTTAATTATTTGTCGGGTTTATGGATTCTTTAGATTGTATGGGAGCACAATCCTGACCTAAGATTTTGGTTGGCCTAAATGTTTGGACTGTCACTGTTTTATACCAAAAAATAATCCACTAATAAAGTCTCAACCAACCAATTTTTGGAGCATAAGTAACAGATCAGTTTTTAAACTAGCAAAGAAACGATCTACGGGCGGTGATGAAGCTACGTAGGAGTGAAGGGGGCGGCCGCCCCTCCGCTCGTCGGAAAACAAAGGCAGGAGCAAGGCTTGAACCCCTCTGGTTTGGCCGGAATCTGGGAACCACGGTGGTTCCTAGTTCGAATCTGGGAACTACGAGCTTGCAGTTTCTTTTTTATTTTATTTTTAAATCCAGGCCAAAAACACATAATTTTAGGCCTGGTAAAAATAATTAATTTTTGTTTGGTAAACGACGTAGTTTTGCATCAATCAAATAAAAAAAAATTTTAAGAGGGAGGGACCACTGGTCCCCATCCCAATCCTCCCACCCGTATCAATTATTACCCCCACCCTTGCCCATAAATTACAAATCCCATCCCCCCACCATCATTCCCAGATTTCAATTTTCAAAATTGTCTCAAATCCCAGAATTGAACACAAGAAAACCCTGTTCCGTTGGCCACCAAGCTCCAGACGCCACGCTAGCCACTCCAATTGAGGTAAATTTTTAATTTTTAATTTTTTAAATTTATGGTTATTGATTATAGATTATTCATATGAATACTATGATTATTAATTTTTTTTATTGAAGTACATAAAAGAGGATTCATACATTATATATATTATAGGAACTTGAATCACACATGGTCTAATAATAATCACATGAACTTGAAGTACATTATACACATTATATATATATATATATATTATACATTATATATTATAGACTATTCATATGAACTTGAAGTACATAAAATTGATTGCAGTAACCGCTATAAACCCTAATCAACTTACCCAATTTTTAATTGTGGTTTAGAATAAAAATTGAATTCTTGATTATTCATATGATTGTTAGTATTGATTAATTAATTCGTGATTTGATTAGATATTACCCTATAGTCTACTCTAGGATTAAGAGTCTAAGATATTTTTTTCTTTTGTTATACACTTACGTCATGGAACAATACTATAAGAAAAAGTGCTTAAATCCTTCTCCAATTATCGAGAAGCAATTCGTAGATACTACCTCCAAAATGAACCTTGTTAACCTAAATCTCACAAAATGAACTGGGAGGTGTGAAAGCTATATGTTAGTGTATAAGCTTCTTACATTGGCTTTGGTGTTACCTGTTGCAACTGCTTCGGTGGAGAGAGATTTTTTTGCTATAAAGATTGTGAAAACATCATTGCGTAACAAAATGAGAGATCAATTGTTGAGTGATAACATGGTTGTTTACATTGAGAGAGATGTATTTGCTTTTATTAATAATGAGCCTATTATGCGACATTTTCATGACATGAAACATCATCGACAACAACTATAATTTATATGTATTGATTAATTATGGAAGACATTACTATATAAAAAGATTCGCTTGTTGCCATTTTTCTTTAACCTTGCACGCATATAAGTTCGCCCTGCTCCCGAGAATTCTTGGCTTCGCCACTATCTACGGGTATGTTTAAGGGGGATATTGTTCTTGCATCGAGATTTCTGTGGTTAAACAAATGCTTGTAGTGTCAAACTGTGAATATCTACGTCAACGTTAGTATCATGCAGATGATTTGGTATTGAGGAAACTTTTCAGATAAAAACCATGCTGAATATATATCCCTATATATATATATATCCCTATATAAAATATGTTCCAATTTTCCTTTATGGAGTGTATGCTGACATGTTAATTGTAGTCTCTCAGTTAATATTAATGTTTGTTAGGAATATAATGGTTAACCGGATATAGTGGCAGATTTGATTTTTTTTAAAATTTTTTTATTTTTTTATTTTTATGTGGACGAGGTATAAAAGTTTGGTGTGGTGTTATTGTCTCCTTATTGGTGGGCGGGTCTTAATGAGGTAGCATGGTAGGGATTCAGGAAGGAAGTTAGGATGAAGAAATTTGAGTGAAGTATTTTAATTTGGGTTAAATGGATTTGAAAAGCATGAAAAAAACAATGACAGGTGGTTTCGGTTAGAAAAGGAAATCTGCAGCGTGGTCGCACCCTGTATTGCCTAGGTGATGAGTAAGGATATAGAGAATTTCAAGGTCTAAGTGGACAGTTGCTCACCCTTGTAAGGATCTCTTGATGAGTAAGGATATAGTGAAATTTTTTTGTGAAACGAACAAACCATCGCTATAATGTCCCACAATGATGACGATGTACATATTTCATAAAAGTCATTCTTGGTCGCTAATGACTTGTGTTAGATTGGCACTAAACATATATAGTTTTTTAAGCACTTTACTTTCTAATCAATTATTTCTTTCAATTGATGTTAGACCTTGCATTGAGGCATTTGGAAGGTTCAACTGAGAGCTACGCACTTTTGATTACAAGTTGTAGAAAAAGATATGTAGGCTAAAAAATATATTTGTTATTGATACATGAATGTGGAAAAATGGAAGAGAATGCTAAAATGGAAGAGAATGCTTTTTTTCTCATTATCTTTCTCTACAAGATTACAAGGATATATATACATGATACAAGTGTGTAGGTAGGACAAGGTAGCCGTCCTAGTGTGTAGGTAGGACAAGGTAGGACGGCTATAGGACGACTTGACGGCTGTAAGACGGCTAGTGTGTAGGTAGGACAAGGTAGGACGGTTGTAGGACGGCTAGTGTGTAGGTAGGACAAGGTAGGACGGCTTGACGGCTGTAGGACGGCTAGTGAATAATATTATATACAATTACACAAGGACTCCAACCATATTCCTTATTTGTCTAACACTCCCCCTCAAGTTGGAGAGTGGATGTCAAGAACTCCCAACTTGCGTAACATACCCGAAAACTTTTCTTTCCCAAGAGGTTTGGTAAACAAGTCTGCCAACTGTTGTGCCGTACCCACATGCTTGGTCTCTATTGTGCCATCTACAATCTTATCTCGTATAAAGTGACAATCCATCTCAATGTGACGAGTTCGTTCATGAAAAACAGGATTGGCAGCTATATGTAACGCTGCTTGATTATCACAAAATAAAATGGAAGGACCATCCAAAGGAATGTTCAAATCCTTCAACAAAAAACGAAGCCAAACTATCTCGCAACAAGTACCTGCCATGGCCCTATATTCCGCCTCTGCTGAAAAGAGCGAAACGGTTTTCTGTCGTTTCGTCCACCAAGAAATCAAAGAACCGCCCAAGAATACACAATACCCAGTAATCGAACGGCGAGTGATAGGGCAACCTGCCCAATCA